TAGATAGACAACCAGCTTGGGTATCAAGAAGGTAACAAAACATAGTGTTGTTTAGATAGACAACCAGCTTGGGTATCAAGAAGGTAACAAAACATAGCATTGTTAGATAGACAACCAGCTTGGGTATCAAGAAGGTAAAACATATTGTTGTTAGATAAGACAACCAGCTTGGGTATCAAGAATGTAACAAAACATAGTGTTGTTTGATAAGACAACCAACTTGGGTATCAATAAAATTAAAGTACACCTTTTCCTTTTTTATGATCCCTATTTACAGATTCTTACATTCCCAATTTTTTTACTTGTATTGTTTGCTGGCTTTTTTATGCTCAACTATTAGCAAAGGATTACTTATTATGGTAGCTAACTGATACGGTTCCTGATGATTTACTGTAGCTATTGACTATTTGATTGGATTAGTTTGGTAGGATGTTAAACTGCAGATGGAGATTTGTTTGAGAATGTAGTGAGCATTTATAGTATGTGCAGCTAAATTCTCTCTATATAATGCACAGCAATGGGAAAATATGTCTAGACTAAGCCACAGCCCCCACTAAGCCCATATAAAAGTTTACCAGTAGAAAAGCAGCCTTTTCAAATAAACCATATATGTCTGAAACATCACTTTAAATAAATTTTCATGTCTTTTAAAGTAATTATTCTACAAATATGTGTAATAAAATTTAATAATTTGTGTATTGATACATAATATAGGGGTTGGCTCCCTAAAGACATCAGTTGTATAGTGTACAAAGCATTTATTATCTACATGTTACAGTCATCTAATATTCATCTCTTACAGGCTGGTAATTCCTGTTTCATCCTGTACTTAAGCTTTTTAACCTTTTGAATGCTATAATCGGATTTAATCCGACTTGACATTTATAGTCATTTGGTTCATATCATGGTTCATAATACAAATTTTTATTTCTGTAAGAGCATTTGTAGTGTGTCAACAAAATTTCCAATAATTTTCAAAAATGATATTTCATACTTACAATATGACTCTCATTTGTATATCCATGACACATTAACAGTTTTTAAAATGTTGTTCACAATTTCTTTTTTAATATTCATGTTATTAGATTTTCTAACATACAAGATACTCTAGCTGTCTTACCGTGAATATAACCACACAACCTGGGAAAGACAGTTAGAGTATCTTGTATGTTAGAACATCTATATAACATGAATATAACAACACAACCTGGGAAAGACAGCTAGAGTACATTGTATGTTAGAACATTTTTATACCATGAATATAACAACACAACCTGGGAAAGACAGTTAGATTATCTTGTATGTTAGAACATCTATATAACATGAATATAAACACACAACTTGGGTATATAGATGTTCTAACATACAAGATACTCTAACTGTCTTTCCCAGGTTGTGTTGTTATATTCATGGTATATAGATGTTCTAACATACAAGATACTCTAACTGTCTTTCCCAGGTTGTGTGGTTATATTCATGGTATATAGATGTTCTAACATACAAGATACCCTAACTGTCTTTCCCAGGTTGTGTTGTTATATTCGTGGTATATAGATGATGATGATTATATTTAATCGACATATCTAAGTTGTATGTCCTAAACTCTTTTATTTCTTTGCATAGGCTCTGTGTGTGTGTGTGTTAGTAACCATCAGCACCAAACAGAAAGGACTACTAAATATGGTGAGTGATCCTGGTGTTTGACATATGTATAAGTAGTATTTTTTGCATATGGATATATATACCTAAGGTAATTTACCAGTTACCATCTGTATGCAGCAAATAATTCTTTTCAAGAAGATTAATTTGTTTCAATTATAAAACAAAAATCATCAAGTGACAGACAGTCAACAGAAATATGTTAAATCAAATTATTTAATCATCATGATAAACTAAAGTACTGGTGTTGGAAAGGCTCTGTTATATTTAAAGTTTCAATCATTTTCAGTGAAATTAAATCATTAATTTCCACACTGAATACAACTTCTCAGTGTTTGAATGTTTTGTATCAAACTGCATGATGTAATTTTCTGTAAAAATACGTTGTGTAAAGCAATGTTCTGTTGGTTTTGAAATGATGCATTTATGTTGAAAAAATTGTGAAACTTGTGTGTGTGTGTTTATTTTATGACCAAATTGTTTGCTGCATCTCTGTTCTGTTGGAAAAGGAGAGTTTCCACAGATTTTAACTCACAGTTTGCAGTATTTGTATTTTCTTCCCAAATAAATGTAAATCCTTATTTGATTGAGGGTTAATTAGTGACTCGTGTTGTGTGTGTGTGTGCATGTACTTTGAGCACTGGCACTTCAAACATTCCAAGTATTCGAAATACTTCACTAGTGTTAACTCACAGTGTTTGGTATTTAAACTGATAACAAAACCTATTCAAATTTGTTTGCTTTTTACACAGCAAGCTGAAATGTCTTTAGAGAATTTGGGTCATTTTGTAGCACAGATTTTCCATCTTGTCACTTAGCAAGATGTTATCAGTTTTCAAATTTTTCTGAGTTGAAATTTCCAGCAGCCCGGCGTGGCCAAGTGAGATCGACTCGCAATCTGCGGGTTGCGGGTTCGAATCCTCATCCCACCTAACATGCTCGGCCTTTCAACCATGGGGGCGTTATAAGTAATGGTCAATTCCACTATTCGTTGGTAAAAGAGTAGACCAAGAGTTGGTGGTGGGTGGTGATGAGTAGCTGCCCTCACTCTAGTCTTACACTGATAAATTAGGGATGACAAGTGCAGGTAGCCCTCGCATAGATTTGCGTGAAATTCAAAAAACAAACAATTTCCAGCAATGGTGGGCTGGTAATATAGTGCAAAGTGGAAGACATGATAATTTGTTTGATTTAGATTGGAGATTACTGTACTGTCCAGAAGATAAAAGGTTAGTCCGTGAGATATCTGGATGGCTTATATAGGTCTATGGCAATTTACTAATAAACTTTAATCGGATTAGAAATTGAACACTTCAATTTTTATTGCTATTATTTTACAATATTTTGATCAAAAGCAAGAGTGCCAGAAATCATGACAGCACTACCCACCATGAGCAGATCCCTCATTAATAGCAAGAAGAACTTTAAATCTAATCCATTTTTGTACTGAAATCTTGATTGGTGCATATATATATATATATAATATCAAATAGGCTTAGTTATTTCATATCAAATACGCTTAGTTATTTCAATCTCCTTTTGTATCTTCATAAAATGTTTTTAAACTTAGGAGAGAACTGGAGAACGAATAACATCCTCTTTAGACTGGTCTATCAAGGCATGTATTTGTTTTTTCTTACTACATACATATTGATTAATTATAAGGAAATTAATGTAAAATAATTGATAGAATGGCATCTGAAACTAATGGGGTATTCTTTAGACTAAAATGTGTTGGCTAATATTACGAAACAGCAACCAGTTGCTTGAGTTAACATTCGAGTACTGAACACTAAATCATGATAATTATAGCTGTATGCGAAGTTATATGAGAAATATTTGTAATAAATTCCTAAACTTCACTATATTCAAAATAGAAAATATCTATAATAACATAAAAGGCTTTTCTTTTCAATCAACAAAACAAACAGAGTAAGTTAATGAGATAGAAGTAGAAGAAAAACAAAACAAACAACTGGTTTATTAATCTGAGTAAACTTGACAGTTTTCAGAAGGAAAGTTAAACATAAAATATATTGGTCACATGTAAGCTGTTTTCTAGCTATTAGTTTGTAAATAGTTATTATTAATAATATTAATTTCAGAAGTTAATTGCTTTTATTTCATATCAGTTAGGTTTACAAATGGTAACTATTTTTGTTTCATGTTGTATTATGACAGTATTGTTTTATTGGTTTACAAATGGTAACTATTTTTGTTTCATGTTCTATTATGACAGTATTGTTTTATTGGTTTACAAATGGTAACTATTTTTGTTTCATGTTCTATTATGACAGTATTGTTTTATTGGTTTAGAAATGGTAACTATTTTTGATTCATGTTGTATTATGACAGTATTGTTTTATTGGTTTATAAATGGTAACTATTTTTGATTCATGTTCTATTATGACAGTATTGTTTTATTGGTTTATAAATGGTAACTATTTTTGATTCATGTTCTATTATGACAGTATTGTTTTATTGGTTTACAAATGGTAACTATTTTTCTTTCATGTTGTATTATGACAGTATTGTTTTATTGGTTTACAAATGGTAACTATTTTTGTTTCATGTTGTATTATGATAGTATTGTTTTATTGAGTTTTTTATAGATGTCAAAAAGAATTTATCAGGATTTCAGTTTGAAACTTACTTTTAGCTATGGAATGATATTTTGTATGTTATTAAAAAAAGGGAATGATAAATGCACACTGTAGTCCAAAACAGGTTGTTTTCCTTTACAAATCATGAAGTAAATAAATTAATTAATGAACTGTTATTGAGTAGTGTTTATATTAATTGGTGATTTTAAAATGTTTTTAATTCCTTACTTCATAGTTTATGAATTATATTAACTATTTGAATTGAAAGTGCATATGTGTTAACTTGTGTGTTCAAAAGTAAATTAACCTGTTGTACATCAGAATTTTTGTTGTTTTTTATGGCAAAATTGTTTTTTTGCAAGTTATGTAAGTAATATTTTTATATTTTTTCCCAGCCTGTGGAAAGGACAAAATATGAAGAAATATTTAGTTCTCTAGGACCAGAGGACCACAAGCTATCGGGAAATAAAGTGAAGCCTGTATGTGCTTTCACCTTGTTACAAGAGCTTCCTTGTGGGAAATATTAGTGGTGCTTTTCTAATGTTTACAAGAACTGTCCAGTAGGCTTCCTTGTATGTAATATAATTCTGATATGATATCTTACCTCCACTCACAAAAAGCTTTCTTGACTTATACTGCCCTCTATTGGCACAAATGTTTATTCACCACTTGCCTTGATATTCCTACTTATCTCTGCATACTAACATGCAAATGGTTATGCAGTGACCCTCCACCAATAGGAGTGTGACACTACTCCTATTGTAACTAGTGTCCTCTCTAATCTTGCAGCTGTTAACCACTTCTTGATTGGCTGTGTTTTCCCCCTCCTGAATATGCCTCTCAGTTGAGTGTCATTTCAGGGGACTTGCCCAGACATCATTCACTTTGTTGGATTTGTTCTGTCCTTATCTCCCATTTTCCATGTTCCACCCCTACCCTTCTCAGGGACGAGCCTTTGGGTCATTATTTAGTATTTCCTCCTTCCCTGGATATTGGGGTTCATGAGAGTCATTTGGGGGTCAGTATGCCTCAACCACCACTTACTATGGATGATCATGCTTTTCAGTATCATCATTCCAACTTCCCTTATTTGAACTCGCAGCATTTTGTGTTGTTTATCATTTAGTGGGGATTAAACCCCGATAATTGGATTACCTTTTCCTGCATATTCGTTTTATACAGACCATTCTTTTCAGGTCAGGGCTGGTGGAGGTCAGACTCCTTCAATTTTCCGACGTTTGGAGGTCCTTGGCGGTTGATTCATGGATTCTAAAAGTTGTTTTCCGTAAGTCTGTTCTTCTACTTCCATTAATCTCCCCCATTGTTTCATAATCCTGTTCTTTCCTTCCTCTTCGGGAACATGTTTTTTTCTCACCTGATTCATTCCAGGGGCCTTCGTTTCTACCATTATCTGAATGTCTGGTTGCTTCTTGCCTACCCAAAAGATGACTCAGTCCTGCATCCTCAGTTTCTTCTCCAGGAAGCCATCTTGGTGGATTGGCTTGTCTAAGTGTTCTCTCTCCTTGTAAATCTTTTGGAACTTCTTGCTATTTGTCGGGCTTTCCTTCACTTCCTGCAGGCTCTTTCAGGCTGGTTGATGATGGTTCACTCCGCCATTTCAATGGTATTCTCGTACATCAGTCTACAGATCTCTGTTTTCCAACATTGTATCTTCTGTATTGGGCCCACTGCAGTCACATCACTTTGCTGGCATGTCATAATCTGGGTGCTCTGAATCTGGTCACAGATTGGTTATCCCATTTCAACAAGATTCTCCCTTTGTGGTGGTCTTCGGATCCTCACGTTTTCCGTTTTTTTTTTGCTCTGTAGGGTGTTCCAAATTTGGGTGCTCTTGCCACTCTTCTCAATCCACCACTTCCCTGATTTTGGTTTCCTGTTTCTCATCCTCTGGCAGGAGCAGTTGATGCTCTCAGTCAGAAGTGGTCAGGTTGGTACCTATATGCATATCCTCCTATTCATCTCCTCTCACGTGTACTTGCCATACTTCAGACCACTCTGTATAGTGTTCTGCTTGTGACTCTGTATTGGCTGGATCACACATGGTTTCCACTGCAGTGCCAGTTTTTGGTGTTGCCTCCCCTTTCCCTTGTGCCATCTGTCCATACCTGCAATCCATATTCATATGTGGTTTTGTCCAGTCTGTCACCTGAAGGACCAAAATTTGGCATGTAGCTTCCCTCATTTCCAGTCCCATTTGTCCTTCCTCCATGGTGGTTTACCAATGTACATGGTTCATGTACCACTGTTGGTCTGTCTTCGGGGTTATCGTCCTTTCCATCCTATGATTCGTCACATACCATCCTTTTTTCCTTGGCTTTCTGAATGGGACCTTTTGGTTTCCTCTGTTGTGGTCTATAGGGCAGTGTTATCTGTAACATTTTGGTTTACCGACTTTGCTTGTGTTCCCAGTTGCTAGTCTTATCCATGTTGTTTCATTCCTTCTGCTTTTCCCATCTTCTCCTTCCTGATTCCCTTTCTGATTAGCACCCCTATGTAGTCCTCCATGCTCTTCCTCATCCTCCGTTGCAACTTTTATCTTGGTGTTTGTTATATCACCTTTCCTTGAAATCCCTGTTCATTTTCTTGTTGGCGTACAAACATTGTTGTTTTGGCATGTTCTTGATGGATGTTCATCACATTCTTGTTTTCCTTCTTTACTGATCATTCCTTTATGTCCAGGACTTTGGCTGCTCAAGAAGGTACTTCTATCTTCACACCTTTTTCCCTTTTCTCTATTGCATCCTTTTCCCAGTCAAGGCTCTCTGATGGTATGTGACATGTACTGCTACCTTCCATGGTTTTCAAGTCTTTTTTATTTCTTCAGTGAATTCCTTACCTTTCCATGACCTTTCCCCCCATTATCCTTCTGGGTTGAATATGCCAGTTAATCCCTCTGGCATTTTCTTCCCTTTCTCCTAATGATTGATGCCTCTTTCATGTTTTCTTTCCTTCAGATCCGTCACCATAACATGTCCCTGGCTGCACATTTCTATCTTTGCTTGGGAAACATCATCTGAGCTGTAACTGTTTATCTGTGGGTAATAAGTACTCTGTTCATTTTCTTTTTTTTTGCAGGGCCTTTATCACATATTTGGATCCCACTCTGTGACGAGCGTTGCCTGACCAGGTATACTTAGCCTTAAATCCTCACAGTATGATTTGTGATCACATACCATGCTAGATAACTGTAACGTTGAGGCTCTTCTTACCTCTGACCTGATGTACAATACCAGATGCCACCAGGTGTTGGTTGATTGACTCAGTCAATGTATTCTCTATACTTTCAAAATATGATGTCATAACACATATTCAGGTAATATTATGCCCACCGTTGAGGTTAGGTATTCTGCAGAACTGCTCGTAGATATACCTCACAAACTTTTGCTTCATAAATATGTTTGTCTCAAACCATACACTCATGGACTAACATGAGTAAAGCAGACTAGGATCTGTATCATTTGAGGCTCTTCCTACTGTGGATCTGATATACAATTCCAGATGCTGCTAGTTGTTGGTTGATAGACTCTGTCAACATGATTATTCTGCTTTTCAGAATAGGGTATTGCAGTCACCCTTTGCACTGTCTCTGGTACTATGGTCCTCTGGACTCTCCAACACACTTTTTCCCTCCTCCTTCTAGTGGATTATGGGAGTCCTTGCCACGTATCAGTTCCTAGTGGAGGTTTGTCCTCAGTTGAGAGTAGGGTGGTGGCATTCTGCTGGTGTAGATGGCATGATGCCCTTCATACCATGGATTCGATGGACAATTCTAGATGCCGCTGGTATTGGATGTAGCACTCTGCCATATATTACAGTTTACCCCTCCAGCTGAGGCACCCTCCTTCCTACCATCCCTGGATGTTGGTTCCTGTGGATTGGGTGTTTGATAGAGCCAGACCAGCCACATAAGTCCTC